AAAAACACAGCTCCCTGCTAGATTATTCTTTGGGTCATACTACAATGTCAACTCCTGAAGTTCCCATTCTTCTTAACATAAATGCCGATTCTTACTTGATTTGAGAACTGGGTTAGAATTCAAAACAGAATGAGGAAATATGAACTTAAGTTAAGGCAGGTACTAATCTATGAAATTACACCTTTTGCCCCAACACCCTAACTTGAATTGTAGTTTCAAGCTTCATTACTCTGTACCAGCCTATCCTCAAATCCCAATAAATATATCAAAATTTAAAAAACTGAAGGAACAAAAACATTTCCATGGTCAAATCAGATTGTTAATTACTCAAATTGTTATGGTGCTTTTCCAGCTACCATTCTGAGCTAAGGCATTTTGAGCTTCAAATGGTGGTGTTAACAGAAAAATACTGCAAGTTCATGAAAAAATATATAATTAAACTTACCCCAATCCAGCTAAGTCTGAGACAAGATTTCCCAAGGCAGCAGCTAGATAGATAGAAAATTATAGTATTATATAAATTAGTAACATTGCAGAAATACCCAGAAAATGTTTTATAACCATATTATCGCTTAAAACTAAAATTCTTCTGAAGACTATTATTGGATATATTTATATACCTCATAAAAGCTGCTTTTCAACATAGTATAAAAATATAACATCAATCAGCCATCATGATTTTTTTTTTAAAGTATGAAGAACGTCACAAATTTAGCAGGGTAATTTACAAAATTGTTCAGTAATTGGCCATGGTTGATCCCTAGGACAGGAAGCACTTCTAGGTTATTGCTATCAAAAGTGAAGTAGCTCCCTCAGATTTTTGGGGGGTACTCAGAGAATCAGAAACACAGTCCTCCGAAGAGGAACTTGAGGGGGGGAAAATTCTTTTAAATGGGCCTAAGAAGAGGTTTTAAATAAAAAAGGGACTTCGATTTGAGCCCAGGAACGAATTGAACCAAGGAAATTAATATAACAAAACCAATTGTAAAATGCTTCATATGTCTCACAATGATTATATCTCCGTTCTCCACTCTTTAGTATAAGTATGTGTAGATGATTAGCTCCAACTAGAAATCAGGCATCATGAAAGCTACACGTTATTTTCTGCAGGTATCCCATTGGCCTCTATAGAAAGGGAATGCTGATATGACAGATCTTTTATCTGCTCCAATAATATACTGTTTATATTCTCTAGAGCAAGATCATGGCAAACTTTGATCTACAATAAACCAACATTCAAAACTCAATTTAAAACTAAGTACAGTAGTGTTTATTTTATTTGAAGAAAGCATATTCTATTTCTCAAAATTATACCAAGCTTTCTAAAGTCAAACTATTAAATAATACGTAAAGGCTAAACCAAATTTCTTCAAAAGCTGGAAGCAAAACGAGGAGGCCAGTTCTTCATATGGAGAATCTGGGTGTATATATTGTATCACGCTAAACCGCAGACTGTTAAACCGTAACAGCAGACTTAGCCAAAATCCAACATCACAAAATGGTCTAATGCCAAGTGACTCATCCTTTAATCTTTTTTAAGAAAAGCAATCAAAAAGCTGAGTCCAAACAGAAGGACGGGTCAATAGAAGCTCCTTTCCTCCAATAATACGTATTTTTCTTTTCCTCACTTTTTCCTCTCCTCCCCCCAAAAAGTGCAAGATCTGCTTCTTTTCTAATGAATTGACAGTTGATCTATTGGTTGCAACGAAATCGATCAACTGACTTGTCACCAGAGGCTGATATTGTAGGTTGGCTCAAAGTCTCCCAGCTATTTTTCATGCCTAAGACAAAACTAGAATTCACAGTCTCCTGGTTTCTAGATAGGTGCCTTAGCCACTAAACCAAACCATTGTTTCCTCCAAAGACAATAACAAATCATCCAATTATTGTTCAGACAGTATGTCATAATTGTTTCCCCTTTGCAAAAAAAAAAAAAATCCATACTCTTTCAATTACTTCTACAAAATAAACTACCCCATATTTTTGTATCCATATAGGGAAATGGCTGTCAGATAAAGCTATTTTTAAAAAAGAATAGAAATGCTATCTTATTTACAGATACAATTTCCCCAAAATTGTGTTGGAAGAAGTAGAAGAAAAATATCAGTAGAAGAAAAACTTCAGACAAAGGTGTAAGTGTTCCTAATTTTATCTCGTGATAAAAGTTTCCACTGATGTTAAGCACACGCTTTCCTCAAACAGCAGCAAAGGGTTCTGTGAATTTCACTGTGCACAGACCCTTCAATGATAAACAAACAGCTATAAAAATCCACATAAACAGCAATGACCTTGATTACTTGCCTGCCATGGTAGAAATTCCAAGCACAATCCCTATTGATAACTCTATCTGTGTGCCCTAAAAATAACAGAGAATTTCATTACCACCCACGCATTATATGTAGACAAAGCTTCAAGAATGCGAGTGTAAAAAGGGGGAACAGGGCACACCTGCTCACCAGTTCCTCTAGAACAGCGGTTGCCAACCGATGGGCCGTGAGAAAATTTTGGTGGGCTGCAGAGAAATCTCACCCCCAGAGCACCCCTCCAAAGCAATTAATCCAGGCTGCACAGAAACACAAGGCTGCTCCGCCCACATGGCCCGCGGGAACCCTCCCCGCCCACTCACTCCTTACCCGGCAAACTTGTCTGCTAAGTTGCTATATTTCCTTTTTCTGACCATCATCTGTTCTGCTGTGCCTGGGAGATTTAGATTAGCTAGGAAGTAGGAAATGGTTGGATTTCTTGCTTTCTAGCTAAGCACAGTTGAACCTCCCTTAGGATTGAAGGTTTGCTTGCAAGCAAATTCAGTGCAGACTCACGGCAAGCAAATTTGAGAGACTGAGCTAGCCGATGGCAGATAGATAGATCACTGAATGATTCTGTGAGCAACTCAATCTGCCTGCTTTGCCTGATTTTGGATAAAAATTGCTTTTTTTATATAAAAAATTCAATATTTACATACATGGTGTATTGTGAGTTAATTTTGTGAGTTTGCTTGCAAGCAAATTTTATGTGACAGACTGAGCTAGCCAATGGCAGATAGATTTCTGAATGAATCTGTGATTCTGTGAGCAACTCAATCTGCCTGCCTGCTTTGCCTGATTTTGTGTAAAAGTTGCTCTTTTTTTATAAAAAATTCAATATTTATATATTTATATTTACATACAAGCCATGCCCAGCCAGTCACATGACCACCAAGCCACACCCACAAATTAGGTCACGCCCACAGAACCAGTTAATGGTCCCTGGGATCTAAAATTATGAATTTGGTGGTCCCCGAGGTCCAAAAGGTTGGTGACCCGTGCTCTAGAACAGGCGTGTCAAACTCAAGGCCCGTGGGATGTTTAGAACTGGCCCACGGTGCCTCTGCCAGTGAAAACGGAGCTTGGGAGGGTCGCGCGCGCCCCCCCTGAGCTCTGTTTCCACTGGCAGAGGGTTGAAGGAGGCGGTCGCAGCTGAAAATGGGGCCCGGGGGGGGGGCATGTGCAGCCCTCCCTGGCTCAGTTTTTGCTGGCAGAGGGCTAGCAAAACAAACTAAAAACAAACCAAATGGAGAAATATTTCCCCTTTTGTAATTCATGCAAGAAGGGACAGGAAAGGAGAAAGGGAAAGAGGAAAGACCGCAAGGAAGGAAAAATAAGGAAAGAGGAGTAGGAAGAAGGAAGGAAGGAAGGAAGGAAGATTATGAGAGTGAGGGAGGGTCTGACAGAAGTCCTGTCTTAGTACCTAGTCACCACAGGTGACATCAAGCTGGCCACATCCACCCTGAACACACCTCCCCCCCTTGAGGTCAAACACAACCCGGATGCGGCCCTCAATGAAATCCAGTTTGACACCCCTGCTCTAGAAGACCCCAAAGCAATATGCATGTTACTGCATTGATATAATGGTGTGTTAAAGCAGAACTGAAACTAGCAATGCTTCATTGCTGCAATACTACAAATATTTCAGTATATATAAAGATTGGTATCAAGATGACTTACCGCAGCAATCATAATGGCATTATCAAAAAATCCAAAGCCTACAAAAGGTATTGCATTGTGGAAGAACACTAGAACAAAAGAGAGATGTATAATGCTTTAAGTACTTTAAATTGCCGTTTGCAAAATTATATTAAATAATATGACAATGTTTGTTATTTATCCAAATAAGGGTCGAAATGTGGTTAAATTCCCAGGCACGACACTGTTTCTATAAATAACCCAAACCAGGAGGGGCTTTTCCTAGTCTCTTGAATACAACTAACCACCAGCAACCTGCATGCAGCGATCGCCAACCCCAAAGTGACTATCTCTGAAAAGCCAGATCCATTCTGAGTACTTTCTAGATAATTCCATCTGCAGTAGGGTGATGCAGTGGAAAAAGCAGCACACACATCGAGGAATCAGTGACAGTCACTGATGGAATTGCTCTGGACACAGCTAAAAAAGTGATTTTAGCCAATCTGTAAAAAAGATAGATGAGGAAGAATTCAAAGAGATCCTCATCAGAGAAGAGACCTCTGCTATAGACCCTGAACTGGCATGGCTAATACTGTCCCCCCAAATTCTAAGAGTGGCCACACTGCAGTTCTTGGAGGCTTTCAATCCCTTAACCCACGGAAATATCTGACAAACAAACAAATAAACAAACAAACAAATAAATAACACAAAACAGACACTAGCATTTACCATGTTTCAGTTGTCCAGTGGATGGTGGTGCAACTTCCAGCTTCTCTAAATTTAAAAAAAAGGAATTTATAAGCATAGAAGTATTTGGCGAGTTATTTTGTACACAGCAGTGTTTAAATGTGAACACATAAAATAATAATTCTGATGAAAAAATATAGGTAAGGTAGATTCTCCACAAGCTTCATTGGAATTAAAAAAAAAACCACCCATCTCTTCTGTTACCAAATATGAACTTTGTTATCACTATAACTTTGTTGTCACTTTGTCCCACAATTTAAAATGGCTTTTTGTATTCAAGGAACAGGTAAGATGCTTTGAAAAGCACCTTCCCCATTTGAAGAAAAAAAATCATATATATATTTTTTTTTGGGGGGGGGGGGCAGAAATCATTTATATTTTCATTATCTAGATAAAACCCATCCTTAGCCAGGAAAGGCAGAACTACTTTTACATCTGAATTAGCACTATAAAAAAATATTAAACTGCCCAGAATAATTTTGTAATGTTTGTTTATGGCTGTCAAATAGTTCCATGTCAGAAATCTTTATCAATTTCCACTGACTTCAAGGATTATTCAGGAAATAAAAATTATTTTAATTAACAATGAAAGAAATTGCTTAAGCAGTAGATCACCAAAAATTGGCAGCGTAACTAATATTTACCAGCCATAGAGAATTAAGGATGTCATGAGGAGGTATCTGGCAACCGTATGGTAAAATTTATTGTAATTTTATGAAGTTTAAGGTTTGGGGTTATTAAATAAAGATTTTAATTTCTGTTTGCAATGTGTAGTATATTTCTATTTAAGCTGCTTGGATTCACTTGACTGAAAATATACAGACCTGCACCCTGAATCTGTTTTTGTGAAAAGCAACCTATGGGTAGTTGATTATGATTTAACAAAAGTACTGATCATGGTTGGCAAAGAATTACAGCAAATGGATATCATTTAATCATGTTTCAAACAAGTCAGGTGTCATGAGTAATATTAAGTTATGACTCCTGGTTTGCAAATCACAGCGGCTGCATTCACAAATCACATTCAACAACACCCACAGTCCATTGCAGTTTTGAGTAATGGGCACACACAATTATATATTGCATCAAAGTTAGCTCTTACTGGTGACTATTTAGCACAATCTAACCTGTTTCTCCATGCAAAGCTCCTGGAGTAAGAGGAGGAAATAGAAACAATACAATGCAAAATAAATACTGTATATGCCAGTTCAGAGCCTCTGAGAGAATGATGACCTGACATAAAGAAATCTACATAGACAGAATGAAGGATTTTGTCTTCCCTGAATTTACCTTCTGTGCCTCAAATCTGATACTATTTCTGAGTATATAATATGTATTCCCTCTGCAATCTGTTTGTTAAGAAAGTTGCTTGATGGTGAGAATCTTAAAATGCCTTACAAAAAGGCATTTTTTCTCCTCTTTTTACAAAGATTTTATTCAAGAATCCTTTAAAAATGGCACAGTACAATAAAAGATGTTTGCACTGCTGGATAAGAGGCACAGGAATCAAATCAATATTTTAACCTTATTTTAATAAGTGGAATATTCTCTCAGAAACAGATTATGAGAACTAAGGCTTCAAATGAATGTTTCATTTGCAGGTTTTACATGAATATGCAGATATTTATCAAAACATACTTTTATCAGTAACTTCCTGCCTTTGGCCTCATTAACACAAAAAAGTAGTTATCAAACATGGATAAAAAATCCCAGGAGCTTGGATATGTACTTTCCTGTGGTAATATTAAATATTAAAACTAACCCACATTCAAAACGTATAAATAAATGTAACATCTTCTATAATGTTTTCAACCTTTCTTACAAATAGTCCTAGACTTATGACCACAATTGGAATCGGAACTTCCAAAGCTATATGATGCAGCCCTTAAGTGAGTCATGCTTGATGTTGTGACCTTTTTTGCTGCAGTCGTTAAGCGAACCCGGCTTCTCCCATTGATTTTGCCTGTTGGAAATTGCAATACCACTTAGACTTATACACTGCTTCACAATATTTTTATAGCACTCTATTAAGTGGTTCTAAACAGAGTCAGCACATTGCTTCCAAACAATCTGGATCCTCATTTTACCCATCTTGAAAGGATGGGAGACTGAGTCAATCTTGAGCCAGTGAGAATTGAACTGCTGGCAATGGGCAGAGTTAGCCTGCAATGCTGCATTTTAACCACTGCACCACCATGGCTCTATAAACCCTCCAGAAAGGTTGCAAATGGCAGTCATATGATCCCAGGACTCTGCAACCATTGTAAATACATGCCATTTGCCAAGTGTCCAAATTCTGATCACCTGAAAGTACGGATGCTGCAATGGTCGTAAGTGTGAGGACTGGTCATAAGTCATTTGTTTTCAGCACCATCACAATTTCGAACCGTTGTTAAATGAATGATGGTTAAGTCAAAGACTACCTCTATTTTCTCTTCTGTTCTGTGCTACAATCACATCAACTCTTGGTAACACTTTGGTATCACACCAGAACCTAAGAAGTATAGCATGAGTGCCAAGTTTGCTGTGTCACATTGCCATCACGTGACATTTCGCGACAGTTTTCCCATTCGTGGAGCTGAGGGCGTGGACTGCGTGTGATGCATCCGGCCCATGGGCCACCAGTTTGACATCCCTGAACTATATAACTTGCATTTGTGTTGGATCCCTAAATGGAGGGGGATGAGTAAGGACATGCTTGTGTTATCAAGTTGTAAACCAGTCACCCACATTTGAATCATACTTTGTCTGGAACACATGCTGGAAAATGTAAGAAAATTATCAGGTGGGCAGGAATACCTTGACTGGGGGGGAAAGGATAAATGATGTAAGACTTTCCATTCATAAAAAAAATACATCAGAAATGAATGAAATTTCAGCCAGTGCAGAAAAAGCAGTTGTTTTCATTATTACAGTAATAATTGGAAGGCCAGCAGTAACTTTTCTCATATGAAGTGAATCACATATGTAATTAATTAGTTACAATTGCAACAACCATTTGTTTCAAATGCAAAAGAGCACAGTAAGCGACTGGGGGTGAATTTCTAAATCTCATGCAAATAAACGCTGTAGCTTAACGTTAGATGTGTTCCAAAGCCAAATGCCTCTTCAAAAATATCTTTTAGAGTAACAATATTAATAAAATAAAGACAATCTTGCAAGCAAGCAAACAGCAGAAAAACACGGCTGTTCTCAAGGTTCAACTACAAGCAGGGCGTGGTCATAAAATGACAGATCATTTCGTCTGACTGGGGAGAATTCTTCAAATCATGGTTTGCTATTACATCCAGACAAGACAAAGATGTCAAAATGCCCAAAATTAAACTGAAAATAACCCATAGTAAAATATATGTTAGAGGCCTTATCAGAATGTATAAGCTTTTCAGATATTGCCATTCTCACTTGATCTAAACTAAACTGCAAGCAAATTCTGATTAAGAATTTGGCTAATGATTCTTTTAGAGCAGTTTGGCAGTTAATTGGGATAACTGTTATTTTAGAAGCAAAAATCCTTATCTTCTTACTGTTACTCTGAAAGAAATCAAATGCTGATACAGAAGAAATAACCGAAAGCATTTATATCAGGACATGCGAGATCATTTGATGGGGAAACATGTATGGTTATGTGACCAGCACCATTTTCTCACATCATGCCTTGTTTTATCAACAAATAGCAAAATTTACTGTACCCAAAGCCCTAGGTATTTCTGCTGATGCTACCTGTTTCACTGACATCTTAAATGGTACCAGCGGTTTAGGAAATCTGGATGCTAAAAAGTTTTCATACAAAAGAAACATCACGTTATTTTACTTTCAGCTGAACATTTAAAATTTTCATTATTCAAATCTAGAATCCCAAGTTTATTTATTTAGAAGTAACAGTCACTGACTTTAATGGATATAAACTTCCTTATAAACACTGTTTATCTTGCATCTCTCACTGTGTCACTAATAAGATGGAACATTAAACTGAAAATGAACCTTCACTTCACCTTCACCAAATTAAATATGTAACCATATTCTCATTTAGTCTGGTCCACTGCACTTCATAAAAAACACTTGTACAAACATATGAATTCTCATGCAAAAAAAATTGAAATATTTGTGATTTGCAACAGGAAATAGCTTAACTGATAGTGAAGATTTTCTGACTTGAATTGTAAGGCAGTATTAGTTCATTACGAAAATAAAGCACAATCCATGGCAGTACAGTCTGTTTTTTCATGCTTCCAACCCATCTTCTTGTATTGACCAGGTGAAGATGGGACATTTTCACACACCATTTTCAGTCCCACCAACTCATCATAGACTGATTCCCAATATCCTGTGGTTTTCCTTACCAATGCCATTCTTGCAATGTTATAAACAACTCGTGCAACAATCAGTCCACCATTCAACTGAGCAACACTGTAGGAAAAAAACTGCTACCCAATAAAATCTACACTCCCAGGGTACCTTAGAGCTGCATGCTCTCACCACATCTGTTTTACATGTACATGAGGCCATTGGGTAAGTCCATTGCTGGTTCAAGGTTAACTAGCACCAATATACTGTTGATACACATTTATGTATCTTGTCCTTTGACTGGACAAGCCATGCTGTTGCAATCACGTCCCAATGCTTAGACCCTGTGAAACTTTGAACATGAAAGAACAAGCTCAACTCAACCAGGCAAAATTGAGTAGCGGTGGGTGTCTGGGCCGCTTGGTGCTGGGAATCCTCCAACTTTGTTCCTGAATGGAGCTAGATTGCCTTGTTTAGGTCTTGTGTGCAATCTACACAGGCTCCACAGCTGCAGCTTGAAAAACAGATGGTAGCTGTGGCCAGGAGAACCTTCCCATGGAATATCTGGCACTAGCTGCACCCTTTTCTGAGTCAGAAGGCACTTCTTACAATCATTTATTTGGTCGCTTTCAGGTGCATCTTTGCAATGTGCCCTTGAAAAGCATTTGGAAGATACAGAATATAGCAACACAAGGAATAATGAAGACTGCATCGTGCCCATGTTATTGGTTGACTTCCAGGTG